TTGGAAAAGCGGAGGGGCAGTAAAAAAGCGGAGGGCCCTTGACGAGATGGATGGACACCGTGGCTGCGACCATGGGCTCAGCCGTAAGGACAATTGGGAGGGTGGCGCTTCCTTCTGTCTTGCAAGGGGTCGGAATCGCTTGGGTGGGTGGCGCCTAACAACATCAACTGGTCCACAGCCCTGTAGGACGCGTGCAGGCACATGGTGCTCTGGAGTGTCCCTGCTATGTGAGGATGGCTTTGGTCTCTTGGAAACGAGAGGCTGGTCGTCCCTGTGTCTCTCTGAGGCCTCCCATGCATGAGCACTACATCCTTGGGCGCCAGGGCTGGCCGTGGCTCCTGCCCTGGGCCTCTCATCCATCTTCATGATGGCTCAAGGATGACTTAGAAATGGCCCAGTGGCGGGGAGATGGCTGGGTGTTCGGCTCTAGCATCTGCAAGTGGGGCTAGATCCCCAAGCCTTCGGGAGATGTCTGCTTCAGGCCAGCCTGGCGGCACTCAGAGCTTTAAAAGACACACCCAGGGATCTACATAGAACCTGCCCCCTGGGGGACGGACAACAGAAAAGTGGGTGAAGGGAGACGTTGGACAGTGTAAGACATGACAAAATAATAATTTATAAATTATCAAGGGTTCATGAGGGAGCGGGGAAGTGGGGAGGGAGGGGAAAAATGAGGAGCTGATGCCAGGGTCTTAAGTGGAGAGCACATGTTTTGAGACTGATGAGGGCAATGAATGTACAAGTGTGCTTTACACAATTGATGTATGTGTGGATTGTGATAAGAATTGTACGAACCCCTAATAAAATGATTTTTAAAAGACACAGATGTTTGGGTGGGTTTCTTTTCCCTTTCTTTCTTGGTTAATTAAAAAAATGTTTTTTTAATGAAAAGTTTTATTGACATATAATTCACACACCATGCAAGCCGGTGGTTTAAACGGATTAAAAAGAGTTGTGCAATTATTTCCACGATAGAACGTTGTCTTCACTCTTGTACCCTTTGGTCTTAGTTTTCCATCTCCTGGCAACCTTCCCTGCCATAAACTTGCCAAAAAACCCAACCAAACTCACTGCCATTGAGTCATTTCCAACTCATAGCAACCCATAAGACAGCGTAAAACTGGTCCTATGCGTTTCCGAGACTGTAACACTTCACGGGAGTAGAAAACCCCATGGACGGCTGGTGGTTTTGAACGGCTGACCTTGTGGCTTAGCAGCCCAATGTGTAGCCACTAAGCAGCCAGCCTTCTTCACCATCACCCTAAGGAATTATGAATCTAGTTTATGTCTAGATGGATTATTGATCCTGGATTTCAAAGAGGGAACATCATACCCAAAGAACCCATAGATGGCAACGTACCAGAACACCGAAAAAACCCTCAATCTCAGTGAAAGCAAAAGGTAATAGAATCTAGAACAAAGTAAAAATGGGCCCAAAGGGAAAATGAATGATAAGATGTTACATTTTAACCAAACTGCATTCACAGAGAAGTGTGTCTGAGGGAAGATTATTTCCATCCCTGGACAATGGTCAGAGGGGTTTGCATGGAAGCTTAAGCCATGTGGGGACCCTGCAAGTGGATTTTTGGGCTTCCACCATCATCCATAGCCTTCTGCAAACCGGATGCTCAGAATTTAACCTCTTATACAATTCCCTCCTCTGGTCTTGGACTTTATTATTTACAATCCTTGGATCACACAGGCTGACGTGCTTCTTCTGTGCGAACTGCCTGTCACCTCACTTAGAGGGCCGCTTGTCTGAAGAACTACCAACAATAGCCCCACCTCACTGTATCCACTGCTCACGACTGGAGTCTGGAAGGCTCACCTCTGGTGTTTCTCTCACACGTAGGCTTTGGGCACCTGCATCCTCTCCCTTCTGAGACCCAGGTGGAGGTAGTGAATGACCCACCAAGAAGCCAGCAACACCCACGGGAGGAAAGACATCTGCCACAGTGATTTCTGACCTTCTAACTATATTCCTGGGATGCATTGCAAATTGCGGGTACCAATATTCTTTCCAACATTTAGGCAGTGTCTGGGCCATTTCTCAGAAACCTGGGGGCCGTAGTGATTACATGTTGGGCTGCTAACCGCAAGGTCAGCAGTTTGAAACCACCAGCCACTCCAGGGGAGAAAGATGAGGCTTTCTACTCCTCTCAAGACTTACAATCTCAGAAACCCACAGGGACAGTTCTGTTCGGCCCTATAGGGGTCGCTATGAGTCATAGTGGACTAGATGTCAGTGAGTTTGTATTTCGGGGGGGGGGGGCATTCTGGTAAACAAAACCAAACCAAATTCAAAATGGACCAAAAATGAGCACGAGACTAGACTCCTTAGGGTTGGAGGTCAAACAGGGAAGCGGAAGGAAGTGGAAATCTCCCTCCGAGAGAGCCCACCTCAGCCTGCTCATCACCAGGGCCGTCTCGGGCAGGGACAAGGTAGCAAGGTCAGGGGGCCTGCTCTGCCCTCCGGGAGCTCGGAGTCTGGGTGTCCACAGACGTCTGCTTGGGATAATACTTCCTACCATTGTAAGAAACCCTGCAGATTAAAAAACTTAATGATTTTCTTAAAAGCTAGAGGTCCCGGTACTGAGCTCAGAAGCGTGAAGGGGCCAGGTGTGTTGGTTCTGGGCTGGCCCCCTGGGCCTAGTTCATTTGGGCTTCAGAAGCCCATGAAGTCTTCTACACGGTGGTCCATGGAGGCTCTGGGAGCTGTACTTGGTCAACACCCTTGGTTACTAGCCAAGAGGCTGGGAGTTCGAGTCCACAGGGCGGTGCCTTGGAAGCAAGGCTGGGTGGCCTCCTTCCCATGGTTGCGCCATTGGAAATGGTGCGGAGTGCAGTTCTAAGGGGGGGGCACGCGGGGTCGTCCCGAGGGGGCCTGCTCCATGACCCCCACACATCCTACATCACTCCCCGTGTCTTCCCCAAAGACATGGTCACCTCTCAGGGTTCCTTCTGTTCGTCCCCCCTCCCCACTCTGCGCCCTCCTGGTGGGGGCTCCCCTTACCTGTTAGCTGTCAGGTCTTTTTCTTTTTTCCCCCGTTTCCCTTTTTTGCCTTTCTTCCCTTTCTTCTTCTGAAAGAAAGCAAGGACATGCAGCAGTTTCGAAAGAACCAGGTGCCCACCTGGACCTTGCAGATTGGCTACGGAAACTGTGTTCTGGAGTGCAGCGTGGGGGTGGGTGTGGGGGTGGTGAGGTGAAGAGCCAAAACCCACTGACTCCAGTGGACCCCATAGCAGTGGGGGGAGGCAATTGTCACCCCCCATGATGAGATTGGATATGATGTTGAACTCCACGATGACATCTGCTATGAGCAGCCAATCAGTTGAGAGGGTGTTTCCTCAGGGGTGTGGCCTGCATACAATATATGTGGACACCTGGCCAAGTTCTCTGGCTTTTGGCTCCCTCTGGGTCCTGCTTCCGACATGTCATCAGCTGACCTCTGGTTCTTTCGACTTGAGCCAGCAGCCTGCTGCATGACTTGCCAATCTTGAATTTATCAGCCTCTGACGCCTGTGAGCCAGCCTGCCTTGATCTTAGTTTCATCAGTCTCTGTAGCTGCATGAGCCAGCCTGACTGGTGGCCCACAGACTTGGGACTTACCATCCTTTACAAGCACGTGAACCATTTCTTTGAGATACATTTCTCTGTCTATACACATATATACACATCTCTGGTCTCGGTGCTCTCAGGAAAGCTTGGGACTGCTCGCCAAAGATCTGTGGCTCAAGCCCACCAGCCAGGCTGGGGTTCAAAGGGGAGGCTGTTTGCTCCGATAAAGAATTATAGCCCAGGAAACCCTATACAGGGCCATTGTCGGTCGGAATTGACTGGATGGCAGGGGGTAACTGCCCAAGTCACATGCCTGGAGAATGTTGGCCCCAGTGACAGGGCTGTCATCAGGGACAGATGTGGTCTGAGTCAACTGGCTATTCTAAAAGAGCTGTGAGATGTGTCTGGGGCCAAGTAAAAATAAAAAAACAATTCATTACATTCTTTTAGCCCCAAACCACCCATTTCTAAAGAGCCTGCTCATTGGAACGGGCCTCCCCTGCAGACCTAACTCCATCCCTCGGTGGGTCAGCAGGTTTCAGAAGAGCACCCAGATGATGGCAGAGTAGGAAGAACAGTCTGGCAATCTACTTGTGAACACCAGCCAACGAAAACCCCGTGGGTCACAGCAGAACACGGTCAGACTCCTTGCTCTGGGCATGTCAACAGGAGGAACTGGTCCTGGAGGAGGGCATGGTGTTCGATGGAACCGAGGGACAGTGCAGGCGAGAGACTCTCTGGGAGATGTACTCTAGCATGCTGCTGATTTCCATGAGGGAGCAGGCCTGGCAATAACACCACCATGATTCGGAACTGACTCAATAGCATCCATCTATCTATCTATCTATCTATCTATCTATCTATCTATCTATCTATCTATCTATCTATCATCATCATATCAATATTTAAGCTCCCTACCTATTTACTATCTATCTATCTATCTATCTATCTATCTATCTATCT